CTGGGTCTGCCATCCTCGTGTTTACCTGTGTCTTTGGTACTTGGCTCACCAGCTATAGAAGTGTTGGCCAATTAGATAAGGAATTAAGTAGTAGTTACGTCTGTCAGGCTTTCTGTCCCCCCCCCGCCCAGTCCTCCAGAGTATCACCCTTACAGCTTCATCTGTTGGGTGTTTGTGGGAATAGCAGGTGATTTGATTTATTTCCTCATCTTGGGAAATGACCCATCAGCCTTAGGTCCACCAAATGACATGTCACCCAGAGGTCTGGTTAAAGGCCTCCTCTTCCCCACCCTCATGAGGAAGCTGGATAGGTCCAATGTGCTGGTTCCAGCTTGGAAGCTCTGGGTTTTCTGGAAGTTACGGAGCAGTCTGTGCTTGTGTGTGGAGTCTGAGCTGGGTTCTAACCCCATCCACTATCCTGCCCACTCCGTGGCCACCCCACCCTCAGGGCCCTGGCAGGTAGTGAATGGGTGGGCCGAGACACCCTAGCAGCCATCGATGCCTCTTCCTTCCTCTTTGAAGGATCTGACGCTGCTGCCGAGGAGGGCTACTTCATCTATTAAACCCAATACACTTGTCGCAGCTGCTAAGCCCCCGTAAGCCGCCGGGCGCCGTGTTTGTGATGGGACTGACAGTGCATGGAGGAGGCTGATTATACACGATTCCATTTCGCGGGCCCAGCAATGTAATTTCACAGGGCGATCAGCGTTTGCATGTAATAGCAGGCTGTGCTGAGGTGTCAGAATATTAAAGGCGCTAATGGCAAAGCTCCCTGTTACACAGGGGGCCACCCGCCGCGCCTACAGCAGGGCTGCGCGGCAGGCCCGTCGCAGATGGCTGGCCACTAAGCTAATGGGGCAGCAGCCAAGGCGGGCAGAGCCGCGAGAGAGAAGAGCCAGCCGGGAGCGGCTCGGCACCTGCTTCCCCGCGCATGGAAATTACAGCAGCCCAGGGGAAGGGAAGTGTGCGTGCCTGCCTGGCACAGGGCTGCGGTGGGGTGGTTTGGTAGACCCAGCATCTTTCACCCCAACTCCACCCGCCCCACTCTTTGGCCAGGAAGCCACTGCTGGGGGAGAGGGCGTGGGCCCTGGTGGCTAGGAGAGGTGCAGCTGGAGAAGTGGCACCCCAAGAATTTGGAAGCAGTGTGGGAAGGGGGCTTGGGCACAGGCTCTTGGCAAGAGCTCTTAAAACAGTTTCCTGCCCCGGCTGATTGAGGTCAGAAAACTCCAAGGTCCCTTACCCCCACACCCTGCAGGCTGGCAAGAGAGAGGGAGGGAGCAGGGAAAGGAAGCAGGCGGGAGAAAGGGGATGGACAATATTTAGGTCCCTTGATTGATGCCAGTGTTGCCATTGGTACACAGAGCTGGGAGCCAGCACCTCAAGATAGGGCTCTTTCCGTCCTTGTGGGCTGCCCCAGCCCCACCCAAGCCCTTGCCTGTGCTCTCACCAAGCTTGCTCCTGCCATTCTCCTTTGTCCTTACTGTGTCTCCTGCCTGGACTGTTGTCAAATCCCCACCCAGCCCTCCACTACCACTCCCTCCAGGAAGCTTTCCTAGCTGCCTCCAACGTCACACAGGCCTGTTTCTCTCCACTGTCCCTGTGGGCAGCCACAGGGGACAGCCTCCCTGATCTTCCTGTTCTGCTGGTTCCCTAGTCCGAGCCTTGACTTCTCAGCCAGAATCTCTGAGACACAGCCCACATCACCTTGTCCTGAGCGGGGCTCCTGGGAAGGCTCTACTCAGATTCATAGACGAATGTTATCTTGTGGGGGACGTCTGGAGGGAGTGGGGAGTGGAAGGATGCGCCGAGTAACCTAGGGAGAGTTTGGTGCCTCTGTGGGTGTGCACACTTGATGGTGTATGTATCTGGCAGGGAGGGACTTTAGAAGTGAGTGCCGGGGGTGGTGGGCATGTGGGTCCAGGCGTAGAGGGGTAGCAGGTGTGAGGATCCAGACCACACATTGGTAAGAACACAGATTGCTGTAGGACCCTGTGTTCTCTGGGTGGCTTTCTGCGTCTGCTGGCTGTGACTGAGGGGTTCCTCAGATGGCAGGAGTTGGAGGGAGCTTGTGGGACTGTGCCCCGAGGCTGGTGGTCACTTCTGAAGGTTCAGCTCTTCAGGGGTGTGTGACAGGTCCTGGGGGAGACATGCCAGGGTTCTCAGCAGGGGCAGCAGGGGGAGAGACCAGGCTGAAGGAGAGCAGTTTTAATTAACCGTTTTTAATATCATTTTGGACTTTGGCTGGTATGTGAAGGCCCCGCTGGAAGCAGCATTTGTAAAAATTAAATCCCTCTTATTAGGAGCTTGGCAGACCCATGTGCACGTGCTGCCCCCTTCCCCCCGCCTATGCCCCCCTGAGGAAGTGCTGGATGAGGCCATGTCACGGCAGCAATTGGTTATCATGCCTTATCTGGGAATATGAAACTGTGCGCATGACACCCGCGGCCACGCTGGAGACGCCAATTCATCTCGCCCTCGCTCTGACAAGCTAGACTGCCCTTCCTGAAAGGCATCCATCAGGCGGGACCGGGGCCGCTGCCTTGCCTGTTTCCTCTGCTTTCCTGCCTGGGTTCCGGCTTGCCCTGTTCCAGCCAGGCCCAGCCTGGCCCTCCTGGGTGCTGCCACCCTCCACCCCCCTTCCACATGTCCCAGTCTAGGGAAGATCTTGGGGAGTCATAATTATAATAATAATCTAATCACGGTGACTCATCGGGGCAAGCGTCTAATGTTATCTGAAGTGGTCTTCCCGCTTAGCTGCGATAAGACTCAGGATGACGTGCAGATAACGTTGAGCTGCCCTGTCCCCAAGCCACGAGCAGAGCAGAGGGGCCTCAGCAGCCCGCTGCCCGCCCGCCGCTTTAAGCCGGGAAGCGGCAGCACCTGCTAATGCAAGTGTTTAATATTTGATGGGCTGGGATAAAGCAGGATCACCTTCGAATTGAATTGAGTGTCAGCCGAGAATCTATTACTGAAATTCGGGTGTGATTTGACAGCAAAGTAGACGATGTTATTCTTCACTAGTTACTGCAATCTTCTCCCCGACATCACTTAAATATTTTTTTCTTTGCTTGAGTAAACACACATTATCCTTCTTTTTTCCCCCTTCCTTCCCTTTTTCCTTTTTAGAGGGGAAAAAAAACCCATCCAGCTCGCCTTCTCCAGGCTGATAGGGTAGATTGTTATTTCTTTATTTGTCCTATTAAATGGAATTTCTGATCGTTTAATCCGGCCTTTGTAAGTGATTTTAAAGTACTTGAAAGCCGGCCCGCCACTGCTCTCTGGCCCACTGCGCTCCAGCCATGGCCCCGACCACGCTCAGCAGCTCATCCAGCTGTGCACCACCCACTGGCTACTTTCCCTTGCTGCCTACACTCCCCCAGCTCTGCCCTGGCTGCAAGCCAGCGTTCTTTCCCCTGCCCTTGAGCCTCACACCCAGCCACCAATTTGTGAGTCCAGCTGTGGCCTGGGAAACTGTAGGAAGGTTGGCTGGGACGTTGAGTTGTGGCTGGTATCGTCTGTGGTCAAGGAAAGTGGCTTGGGAGGGTGCTAAGATTGAAGGACCCACAGAGCCGGGGCTTGGTTCCTGCAGCTGGGAAGGAAGGGTACCAGCCCCTTGGCCTCAGCACAGACTCTGTGTCCAGTCTCATGTCTTTGGTTTCTGACCTGGTGTTAGGACCTCCCCGCTGTGAGGGAGTCTCCAGTGGGATGGGGACCTCCAGGCCAGGGCATGGCTGGGGGCACTGCAGTGCCTGTCTGAACGTGGCTGCAGCCACCTTAGTTCCCCTCGCTCCCCTCCCCACCTAGCTTCTGGGAACTCCCCCGAGCTACATTCCTAGTGACCCTATCCCATATGCTTCCTGCCACTGAGAGCAGGGCAGCCTGGGGTTCCAGGACTTCAAAGGTGAGGCAATGGGTAATGTCTGAAGGGCCAGCCAGCTACACAAGCCCCTGGTAGAAGCCCAGGACTTTGCTAGCAGGTGGAGCAGGAATTCAGTTCCCACTGGGCTACTTGATAGCATTCTAACCCTTGTAAGTCTCTTCTTTCTGGGCCTCAGTTTCCTCATCTGTGACGTCAAGTCATTTGTGCCTGTAAGGGATTGTGAAAGAAAAGTACCATCCCTGGTCCTGCCATGTACTGCCCCCCACCATGGAGGTTGGTGGCGGCCAGGTGGCGCGAGTAGCAGATGGAGGGGAGCAATGAAGTGCTAGGGGTCTGAGCAGATCGATGCCCCCAGCACTTCCTTCCCCAACCCCAGGAAAACAATTAAGTACAGATCGATGGGTGGCCGCTTTGAATATGCATAAGTGAGTACTTGACCTTCAGCAGAGATCTGTTCCCCCTAACACACACACACACACACACACACACACACACATTCTTTTTATGTGTTCCCTTCACAGCTGCTTGAGTCAACCAGGTGACCTTACTCCTCCTCAGTTGAGCCCATGCATGGCAGTCAGCCTTCCACAGCCTGGCCTGCCTCTTGGTCTAAAGCAAGTAGACCAAGGGCCTGTGTTTGGCCCCCTCTTGCTTCAGTTTTCCTATCTATAGAGTGAAGTTTGGATATGTTGGTCTCCAAGTCCTTCCCGACACCAGGCTTTATGACCAGCAATACTGTGGGGAGGGGCCCAGCACAGTGCTGGGTACACTGGGGGTGGGGTATCTAACAGGGCTGCCTGGTGAAGGGGGTGCCCTGACGACAGGATGGTCCTGAGAAAGAGGATCTTAATAAATGGGAGCTCTCTAGAGGAGCCTGGCAAGGGGGCACCTGTTGGGGGCTGGAGGTCTCTGATGGGGAGATGCCTAAGATAAAAGGAGCTCTGAAAGAAGAAGGGATTTTCTAGTGGGGGCCCTGGTGGAAAGGGGACCCAGTGAGGGGACTCTCATGAAGTGACATAATGAGAGTAAGCCCTTACTGGGAAGATTTGGCTGGAGGGTGGAGGTGGTGAGTATTGGGGGTCAGGGCCTCTGTTAACCATTCTTGCCTCCTGTCTTCCAGGCTTACAGCTTCGCCATGGGCTGCTGGCCCAAGAATGGACTTCTAGACATGAACAAGGGCCTCAGCCTGCAACACATAGGCCGGCCCCACAGCGGCATTGGTCAGTCCCTCCACATATACCCCCCCTGGCAGCTCAGTCAGCCCCCGGCCCGCATGCCCCAGTCCCCTGGCACACAGAGGGGTTCTGTGGCTCTGTGCTCTAACGGGGTGCTTTCCATCGGTGGGGGGAGGGGGAAGGAGGGTGGCATAGGGGAGAGTGGAGCCAGACCATTGGAAGAGATCTCTCAAAACACTGTTTAGAAGAAGACTGGGGTCTGGGCTTTGGGTGGGTCACAGGTGGCCTTGGATTCAGGCCAAGATACCCCCAACCCTGCCTGCATCTCTGGTGGGTGATGTCCTCAGAGGGGTGGGCACATGTCAGCTTACCCACCCCCATGGAGCTAGAAGAGGCTGCTTAATATTGTTTCAAGTCTGTGGCTACTAAACTGGGCAATCAATGGGAGTTAAGGAGATGAATTATTTAAACCTCACCAGCTTTTAATTAGTCGGGGTCCTTCTGACCGATGGCTCCATCCACAGGGTATTGACTCCCCCGCAGGAGGAGCAGCCTCCATTGAGCGGTGCCGGGGTTGGGAGGGGCCACTTGGGGTACCAGGTGGGGGTGCACCCTCAGAGGGATCCCTGCATGGGAGGGGGATGGAGTGGCTGTGGTTCTAGGCATTGGAAGCTCTGCTAACTTCGGATATATCAGTATTGGGGGGCGTGTGTGTGTGAGTGAGTGTAACAATATATCTGGGTTGATTTTCCTGAGGGCATTTGTCTTTATATGGAAGCAACCATCAGCCTGTGTGTGTATCCACCAGAAAGTGTGTCTGTTCATTTCTGTGTATCTGATTTTCTGTGTGTGAGCACACGTCATGCAAATGCTTTCAAGTGGGGTACTTGACAAGCATAGGCTTTGTTCCAAGTGGGAAGGAGCGGGAAGGGGGGTTATTCCTGGGAGGTGGTATGACATTATCATAACCTGTGTACCTTTGGGGAGCTATGGCAGCAGAGGGACCGGCAGGATACACCAAAAGGACCCAGTCACCTGTCACAGACTAGCCCTTCATCCTTTCCACAGAGATCACTGGTGCCTAGTGGGTGCTGGGCATGCTGGGTGGAGATTCTTGTCCTCAAGGAGGTGACATCCTAGGACAAGATAGAGACTGAACTGGGTACCCAGGGTACTAAGGGCCGTGACAGGAACACCTAGGCTGCCCCAAGGGAGGATTCTCGTGTCCTCGGGTGCCAAAGTGACTTCTGCCTCTTTATTTACATCTCACTGACCTCAGGGATGCCCTGTATCCTTCTTGTTGGGACACCCCAAGGCTCTTCTGGGGCCTGGCAGGTGGGGGGAGAGGAAGCAAGTCAACAGGCCTAGGAATTGGGGGTGCCCCACAACAACTGCTGTTGCCTTCCCTAGGAGCTAGTCCATACAACCTAGAGGAGACCCCAAGCCTAGCAAGCTGATCTGCTTGGAAGCTCAACAGGGAGTTTCCTAGAGAAGAAAGAGTCAGGAGATTCTTGAAGGATGAGTAGGAGTTTGCTCGGTAGAAAAATGAGGGAAGGGTTTTCTACTTAAGGGCAGCTGTGCGTACAAAAGCACAAGGGCACACTGAAGACAACTCAGACACCTACACGTAGTTTGCTGTGACTGGAGTGGGAGGGACACTTGGGTCAGAGAACAGCTAGAAAAGAAATGGGGAAATAAGTGGGTCTTGAATGCCAGTTAAAGGGTTGGCTCTTTGGTGAGGTTCTGAGGAGATAGGAGGTTTGTGACTGAGAAGACAGCGCTCTCAGAGCTCCTGCTCAGAGCTGACGGGGCAGGGCGCACTGCACATGCTGGTTCTTAATAGACGCTTAGTTAAACACTTTGGCGGGGGGGCACTGAATGAATGAGTAGATGAATCAGTGACAGAGGGGTGGGAAAGGGAGGGACCAGATAGTGAGGATCAATGAGAGGGCTTGCACCGGCCCAGGCGGGCAGGGGCTGCCAGTAGTTGAGTCTGGCTGCTAGAGGGACCAGCGGGGCTGGGTTGGCCTTGAGCTGGGCGCCCTGTGTCTGTGGATGCGTCCCAGGGTGTGTTTGTGAGAGGAAGAGGTTCCTTCTTCCCTCTCTGTTAGGACTCCTGAGGCGTTCCCTCCCTCTCCAGGGAAGAAGGTTTTTCCATCTGGCCAGGCCACAGGGGACAGTCCAAGGTTACAAGTGACAATGGAGTAAGGGCTTTGGAGCCAGAGGAAGTTCTGGCTCTACCACCCAGAGCCCTGTGACCTCAGACAAGAGACAGTGCCAGTGCCTCTCAGGGCTGTTGGGGAGGTTCAGTGAAGCTGCTCGTGTAAAGGGCTTGTGCAGTGCCTGGCCTGGCACACAGTAGGTGCTCAAGCAGCCCCCTCCTCTGTGGCCCTGCCAACACCATGGCCTCCCCAGGGCACTGGGGGTTCCTGGCACTGGGTCTTTGTATCTTTGAACACAGAGGGCTGCCCTGCCCGCTCCCAGCTGGCTCTGAGGTGTGGGTGAGGGTGTTTGGAGGGGAGGGAGGATGCAGGGCATTAATTGGGCTGGGAGAGGCAGGGAGGGGAGGCGTTGGTTTTGAGCAGTGAGGTTAATGGCCCTCGCGCCAAAGAGACAGCTTTAATGAGCTTCAGCTGGCGGTGCCCCGAGTTACTGTGCGTGCTAAAAGGGTCGCGCTGTAAGAGTTTGATGTGGACTGTTTCCCAGCCCTGGGGTCAAGGGTCAGCTCCTGTCACTGGCCACTCAGGCTGGTCCTCAGTGACATAGTGCTAATTAACTGCGTGAGGAGCTGCCAGCCTGAAGTGGGGAGTGGTGTGCATATTGGTGGGGGGGGCAGCATGGGTGATGCTGGGCAGGGGTTCTGCAGATGCCACAGCTTAGCCATCTCTGGGACCCGCCTGGCTCTCCCACGGTGCCAGGGAGGGGGCTAGGCAGTGGCTCTGTGCGCAAATCACTGATGATCCTAGGCCCTAGAGAGATCTCCAGAGTCTCTTTCTAAGGTATGGGTGGGAGGGGGAGTGTGTGGGGCCTACCTGGTGGGGACTCCTGCTGAGCACCGGGTGTGGTGGCCCTGAGAGAGCAAGGGGCAGGCGTGCTGGAGGGCTGGGAGGTAGGCTGTGGAAGGGGAGAGGGCCCGCTGGGATGGATGTGCATGGCTGAACTGTTTGCAGGGGAGCTGGGGGCGGGCTGGGCAGATCCTGGCAGAGCGGTGACCTGGTCAGAGTTGGGCTTCAATTTGAGCCATCTGAAAGTTTATACAGGGAGGACTAGCAAGGAGAAACCGCAGAAGGGGCAGCTCAGCGAGGAGCACGGAGGCGGCGGTTAATTCAGAGCCGGCAGTGGCCCTGGGAATGGAGGCAGAGGACCAGTCAGTGAATGTTTACCTTACACCTGCTATGTGTCAGGAGCCGTGACAGGTATACTGGTGAAGATGACAGAGTGTCCTGCCCCCACAGAACTCAGGTACGGTCGTCAGCACAGGTACAGTTGGCCCTGGCAGCTAAGGAAGAGGTAGGTTCAGGAATGGAGGTGGTGGAGCTCCAGGCAGAAAAGGGGTGTTTGGGGGCTGTCCGCATGGCCTCTTAGGAGAGGGACACTTCGTTCTGAGGTGGTGGATTTGGCCTTGCAAGCCCAGTGAACAGGGTGGTGTGGAGCGGGCTATGGGTGAAGAGGGACCGCATGTATGTGGGACAGCTGACGGCCGGCAGTCAGCGTACTCCATCAGCATCCTTGCCGTGGACCAACGGCTTTGAGGCAGGGCAGCCTCCACGGGGGACTTCGGAGTGCTGTATGGTGCTTCTTGTGTTTCTGCAGAGGGTCAGCATGTATTTGGGGGTACTTTTTATTAACTAATGTAATTTTCACACCAGTTTTATGGAAGGCAGGCATTATCATTCCCATTTTATAGACTAGGAAGCTGAGACTCAAGTGACTTGCCTGAGGTCACACAGCCAGGTAAATTGAAGAACCAGGACTTAAACCCAGGTCCGTGTGAGTGCAGAGTCTATGTTCTTACCGCTGTGCTGAACTAGGAAGCACCTTTTTGGTGTCGGGCTTTGTGCTACCAACAGAGACAATGAGGAAGAACACAAGCTCACTTCCCTCATTTCCCTCAGTTAGTGTGAAACATACAGGCCTTGACAAAGCCTTGTTGAGGAAGAAAGCCTGCTACAGTCGCCCTCAGAGCCAGAGCCCGGCAACTCTCGGCTTCTGACCTCCTTCTGGCTCTGACAGTTCTCTGATCTGTTTGCTCTCCACCTCATTGACCAGGAAAATCCTGCCCGTTTTCCAGGGGCCACTTCTTCTGGGAATCTTGCCTGGACTTCCCAGTGTGCATGTACAAAATACATCCTTGGACCCGACCCCACTTACAGTTTGTTGGTGGTGATGTTCAGGCCCTCCATACTTGATCTAACAGCAGGACCCAGAAATCTGCACAGGAAATGTCAGTAAAATCTCACCTGTTGTTTGGACATGGAGGCCCCACAGACTGCTGATTTCAGCTGGCTGGGAGAATAACTGGGAACCTTCCCTGATGCCCAGCTGGGTGGTCCTGCCCTGGTTTCTTAGCCTCTCTGCTCAGGGCCTGAGGAGGGTCCCTCTGAGGCTCATGGTAAGGAGGGATGGCCAGACACCAAGTGGACTCTCAGGAGCTTGTTACCCAGCATGGTTTGGCAAAAAGAGCTGGGCTGGCAGGAGGCAAGGTGGGGGCCTGGCCCCAGGGGGGCAGTACTGGCCTGTGGTCTCCCCTGAAGGAGTAGGGTGTCTATCAAGAGTCCAGTCAGAGCGCATTAGCTCTGTGACACGGATCTCATTAGCTCCCGTGAGAGGTGTCACTGCAGGAGAATCATCGGCTCAGGGAGATGCTTGTACCAAAAGGAAGAAAGGACAGTGACAGCCTTTTCTCTGCCGCCTCTGCCGCCACGCTCCCTGGGCTGCCCGCCCTCCTCCTCGTGGGGGGGTGGGGGTGCTGGCTAATGAGCTCGTCCACAGTACAGCTTTGCCTTCCCCTCCTTGAAGTTCCCCAGGTCCCTCTGAAGACCTCA